GTCAGCCAGTGGAGACCAGTCTGAATTTCCATTACACCTGCTACACAGTGACAATCGAGAGAGAATGGCAAGAGTGCACAATTTGAATGTAAATGAAGAGTATGTGAGCATGCAATAGGGGCTGATTAACCACACCGAACACAGACCTCGCCTTGCCAGACCAGATCAATGCCAGTGTTGGCTTGGAAGAGGAAGGAAAGAGAGGGAGCAGCCTACCTTGATGTAGTGCTAACTGGTACCACCCACTAATCAAGGTACCGGTGCATCTGGCATAGTGATGTATTGAGGTGAGAAGGTAGGAAAACTATCCATAAAACCACATAAACATTTCCAGTTTTCAAAACTAAAATGAATACAATTTTTAGCAGTTTCGAGCAGGCTCTGCCTTTAAAGAAGCTTTGTAGTCACACTTTAAAACCTGTGAGACTGAGGAACCCTTAGATGTACACACCTGCAAAGAAGAGTGGGGTTGCTGACTGATGACTGTGGCTTGTGTTGTTAAATAAACGGTATCAGATACATTAATCAGCTGAATCTACCCCTCTGTTATTTATAGGGCTAATATGCCTGACAAGGCCTCAGAGGAGAAAACTAACCTGGCAAAAAAGTTGGCCGAGCAAAGGGCCAAAGGTGTCGAAGGTATTCCTACTACTGCAAAGGTGAGGCTTCAAAGAGGATCCAAGAGCATGCACAATAAAAATACAATGTTTTTTCTCTGTTTTGTTTTCACCTGTTTATTTTCAAATCTACAGCTCAAAATTGACGAGTTTGAGTCTAATGTCAATGAGATCAAAGACCCTTTCCCTCCTGCAGACTTTCCTGGTAAATCCCAGTGCCTCCATACTGTATCATCATCCATACGAATCCAAACTGACCACTAAGACAGGCCTGTTCTAATCTGACCTTCTCTCCGTTGGCCAGGTGATGATGAAGAGGAGGACCCTGAAATGCCAGACAGTCCCAGACCTCGTCCAATGGCAGATCTGCAGTTGAAGGAGGAAGCAGTGCCAATGCCTGAAGCCAGCTCATTTTTCATCTTTGGACCTCAGAACAAGTAGGATGCTTGTGATTGTTGGTGTTGATAGTTATAAAATGCAGTACACATTTCATGGCCCCACCCCACTTTCACTGTATGAAAGTAGTTACTAGTAACATAAACAGTATTTTTGTTTGAAAAATTAGAGAATAAAAGCATATTATTGCAGGCGAGCTGGTCCTGTGAAATGCTTCTATCAGATTGTTATCCTTGTCAGTATTATATTTCAGTGGATGTAAGTATTCAGACCCTTTCACTTTTATGATGGCTTTAATTTTAAATGCATGAAATTTGGTGCCTTTACACAGATTGGAGCTCATACATTTTAATGGTGGCCAAGGCAGATAATTTGTTTTCTGCTGTAACCAAAATATGTATAATGCATCATATCTCTAAACTTAAAGTTGATAATGCAGAAAAGGTGAAGTCTGGCCACATGTTTTGTTCAGGTGAATAGGTAATGGGTACTTCAGAAACTTTGTGAAAAGGGAATCCCATTTTCTCAGAACTCTATCCCCAGCAGAACAGTTACTGATTTCCAAAAAATATCCAGTACTGACAGTCTCTTCTCAGAAGCTGCCCCTGGAGGTGTCTAAGTAGAGTATACAGCAGAGGTACACCCCTGAGCAATATCACATAAATGTCAGTTGTTTCTAAATTGTATCACTTTACAGTAATTGGATTACTTGAAGTTGAACAGTAACATATTTATTCTGATGTAAAATCAAAAACAGTATAGGATAATTGCATTAAAGTTACAGGCCCCCATTGGGAACTCAATGCAACAACGGCTGATACACCCTTCATTGCGGGGATTCTAATATTTTCTTTTTTCAGTACCTTGTATGTCCTTCTCTGCAAGCGGAATAGCTGTGTTTGCTAGGATTGGAGAGATGTTCTCTCATTCTTCAGAGTAATTTTCTTAAGCTGTTCTTTGTTGGAGGGGTTGTATTGTTTCACTTTTGTCTTTAAAGTACCTCAATGGTGACTATACCAACTAACAGGATAATGAATAGGACCATAACCATGTTCCTAAAGTGTATCTTAAAAGAACCTCAAGACCTCATTACTAACTGCAAATTTTAGTGTGTCTTGGTGTGATAAGTAAAAAATATTTGAAATTTTTATTTTTCATAATAAAGACTTTTCACAGGACCACTTCTATGCTATTACATACCTTACCTTACAATTATGCATTGTTTAAATAATACTAAAATCGATATTATTTGAATATATCTTTTAGATGATAAGACCCATCACTAGTCATGGTATCTTATTTTGTGTGAAGAGTGCAGAGTTAATGAATTAACTGTGCTGTTACTGGATTTGGGAAAAGTCCAGCTCTTGCTTTTGAAAGCACTTCCCTTTAATTGTATTTAACGTGGGAGGAACTCTGAGGTTTAGAGTTGGAATATATATTTTTAAAGGCCTTTAAGTTTGCTGACAGACACTGTGTTCTTAACAATGATTAAAGAGTGAGCAGCACTCATCTGGACCCTAGTGTCATTTATAGCTACATTTACGTGACATGACAGAAATAGTTTATCACAATTTATTACAATTTATCACAATAACCTAACTTACAGTTCCTCATGAACTTTTTGAATGGTTTTGTTATTGTCTGAAGACATTCCATAGATTCTTTTATCATTGTTATTTTTAGGTAATAAATATGTGTTTTGACAATTTCAGGTTTCGGAAGCTCTGCCATCGTATTATCAATGCAACTACTTTCACCAACATCATCCTTCTCTTCATCCTGCTGTCATCGATTTCTTTAGCTGCTGAGGATCCTATTGACCCGATGTCTTTCAGAAACCAGGTGATAAAGTGCATGGTTGTCACACTGTAATTTCAATATTTAAGTTATATTGTTATTGTATACTGGTATTGTTAGTTTTAATTAATATGTTCAGCTTTTTATATTGTATTATTAACGTTATAAATAATGTGACATTTTTAGGTGCTGGCCTATGCTGATATAGTCTTCACCTCTGTGTTCACTGCAGAAATTGTGCTCAAGGTAATAACAGGCATCACAATGAACATTTTTATTACAGATGGGTGACAAATAATAATTAAAAAAAAAAAAAAAACAGAAAAGATGAAAGATAAAAATTTGCATGATTCCATAAAGGTCATTTTGACTCACTGAATAGTTTGAGAAATAATTATGTAAACCATAGCCTTCACATTCATCTCAGCCCAACTGACCTGAACATACTCTTGTGAGAATGGTCTCCACCTCAACAGTAGAGAAACAGAATAGGAAATCTTGACAAGGGACTGTAAAACTGCTCTGGAGAAAATGTTTTGTGGAATAACACTTTTATGCGACACTTCATGTCGAATCTTCAATTCCTTTCAACGATTCCTCTCCTTACGTTTTTGTCCTTCTGATCAGAGATTCAATGTGGGGAGTGTTCGTTTAAAGCGACATCAATAATATAGAAGAAGCTTCATTGTCATTGTACAAGAACTACAACAAAATTTCATTTGGCATCATCTTTGCAGCAGCTAATGTGGTCACAGTCTAAGAAAAGAAGTTAAAAGGTGATACAAATAATGAAATAGCAATAAAATATACACTCTATAAAAAGTGCGAAAGAGCATTTGTTAGGATGAGTCCGTAAACTGGGAGTGTCATGATTCCTGCAGCAGTCTCTTCACAGCCATGGGGAAAAGCTGTGTTTTAGTCTGTTGGTACGGGCTCCAATGACTCTGAGTCTGTCAGAGGGGAGGGTAGTAAAGAGGGAGTGTCCTGATATGACATGTTAAGGAAATTTCTGATATTGAATAACTGCTCACAAACTGAAGAGTTCTGAGTTACTTTGGATGCATCTGCAAAAGTGTATCCAGCTCATCAAGCAGTGTCTTTGGCTAAATGAGTGACAAATCTCTCTTAACAAAGTCTGCATTTTGAATTGAAATAATAACATTACTACATGAGTTGTTTGCTTTTCAGCTGTCTCCTCCGTAGAATACTAACTTGATGTATTTTCTGCCATCCCCACACACTCATTTAGGTCATACACTGGTCATCTTACGTTTATCTAATGTTTCCATCAATGAACAAGCTTCTATGTTGCTGACACAACTTCTAGTGATGTGGTTATTAAAGAAGTTATGCACACATATGGCTTTATTTGTGCATATACATCATCAAGACAACTGCACACAAGTGACAAGGTCATGTTGCTAGAAACTGATGGCATCAAGGCATGGATGCCTCATTTTGTTAAATACTTGTTACCACAACTCTTTTCCATTCGAATCTCTGGTGGGACAGACGAAGATGAGAGGAGAGGAGCTGAGGAAAGGATGTGCATTTAGGGAAATTAGATAAGAGACGTGTCTATGTATGTGGCTGCAGCTGTTTCAAGGCCTTCTGGACAGAGGAGGGGGAGCCTAAGACAGATTTAGAGTTAGAGAGCTCTTGCTAGGTGTGCTTGGAGGCCTAAGAATGTGCACCACGTAGTGCAACTTGTTTTGGTGGGAAGTTTGACTGTATTCTGACTGCAGAGGGAATATATATATATATATATATATATATATACCTGGAGGAGAATTTTCATTGAAGAGATTGTTGCTTGGGTTGGATGGACTGACTAGCAGTTTGTGATAAGTTGATCAATTACTTTTCTAAAGTGGCATTTATGTTTAATGAGATGGAAAGAAGTATGGTCTGTCGAGACAATAAGACCAACAATACTGGATGGGTTAACCTAGTATAAGTACACCTGCCAGGTGATGACCAAAGAAGTGGGGAAGCATCCTTAACTGACTGAGTCAGTCACCAGGTCTCAGTTAGACTGAGCTGCATTCAGATTCAATTCAAAAATTGTATATAATGTGATTTTGGCCAGATTAGCATGAATCTAAGCTCAAATTCTGTTCAGTGGTCTGATGTTTGAACTGGGCATCAGCGCAAAGTATCGACCTTCTTTATATGAACAGTGATAAAGTTACTGCCCCTTCAAAGTACAGATAATTCTGCATTTTTGAATGAGACATAACAATATGGAATACTAAAATGTTGTTCAGAGAGATAACTTTATATGTTTTCAAGATACAAGTAAAAGTAATGGTACTTCACTGCTTTACACTCCTGGAGGTGAGATCACTGGGCATAGCTCCGTATAAGCTGTTTAATAATCCTGAAGACAAAATGAAGGTGGTCTGACCTGCAAATACTTATTGCCATGTCAGCTAGCCAATTAAAGACATATGACTTAAAGACAAAGTGTTATATTTTAGTGGAGATTAAAATTTTAGCCTTGTGTCGTCATGGCAGTTGAAAAAAATTGAATTTCACAATTTAGTTGTGAAAAAATAGTTGAAAACAAAAATACAACAACAAGTTTAGTCAGTTCTCTGAATTTTAGCTAAAGTGTTTTATTATATTTTATTGATCAATATTCTTTCTCAGATGACAACATACGGTGCCATTCTTCACAAAGGGTCTTTCTGCCGGAACTCATTCAACATCTTGGATCTTCTGGTAGTCAGTGTATCTCTCCTCTCAATGGGCATGGAGTACGTAATGTCTGGACTTATACTTCACCTGCCAATGACTGACCTCTCATGTGAAAATACTTGTATTATTTATCCCACTGATTTGATGAAGCATGTCCTTGCACTGTTAGACACAATGCACTGTGCCTGTGCCTTGCAGATCAAGTGCCATCTCAGTTGTGAAGATTCTCAGGGTGTTAAGGGTACTCAGGCCCCTGAGAGCTATCAACAGAGCCAAAGGACTCAAGGTAAGCTCTTATGCTGTGTTCACACCAGATGCGAGTAAAATCATTTGCGCGAATGATTTACATGTAAAGTCAATGTAAAGACGCGAGTTATTTGCGTGAATGATGAGATTCTCGCCGCATTTAAAAGCATGAATGACGCGAATTCACGTTAGATGCGCAAGTTGAAAAATCTGAATTTTAGCAGTCCTTCGCGCCACGATGGCCAATCAGCGTTGAGATTCTCTGGTGACATCAAGAATATGATTCATTTTTTTGCAGTTAGCAAAAAACTGAAACATCAAAATTGATGGATTTACTCACCCCAGAAGACAAGTAGCTAAATCCCTAGCCAAGGCAGATCTCAGTGCTCAGCAAACTGGCTGTCCCTCTCATCCAGTCCACACACAAGAATGTCACCACTTCAACTTAGCAAGCTCGCAAACCAAGTTGCTAGCTATTGCAATGCTAGTGGGATAAACCGCCGCTGACTCCTTGTCGCTGTGGTCAACGTACTCCTGCTGGCGGCCGCTCGTCCATGGCACAGAAAAAACATCACTCTATCCCAGCGAACGCCTGTAGTTAGTATCCTGGAGGGATATCCTGGTACTGATCCTCTCCAACACCTCATCAAACTGGGTCCGGGTCAGCCGAAAATGGCGCTGGAAGCAGCCGTCACCCAGATGCAGGTCTTGGAGAAGGTGGTGGAATTCCCCGAACTGTGTAGTCTCTGGGGGATCCCATGGACCCGGACAAGCCGGCAAATCTCTCTGCGTGTAACGTGTGAATGATGCGAATTATTCACGTGAATGAAGCAAGAGAACTCAGTGCATACACACATCCAAATAGGCATGAATCGCACGATGACTTCGTGTCTGGTGTGAGCACAGCATTACCTCGGTGTATCCAGGTAACATGGCAATGAACAGACAGACTTTAACCATACATGGCGTTATGCTGGCCTGATTCATCATTTACTGTATTTGTTCTCTTTCTCTTTTAGCATGTGGTTCAGTGTGTGTTTGTTGCTGTCAAGACCATTGGAAATATTGTACTGGTCACGATGCTGCTGGACTTTATGTTTGCTTGCATTGGAGTCCAACTTTTCAAAGTGAGAAAAGACAAATAAAATGCCACACTTCTGCTGAATGCATGTTGAGCAACGTAAACAACCCTTTTCAGTCTACCTTCTCATAAATACATTTACTCTGTTGCTCACCCAGGGCAAGTTCTATGCCTGCACAGATCCAGACAAAATGACCGAAGAAAAATGCAAGTAAGGATTTGTGTTTATCTGATCTCAGTCCTCTGCTTTATGCTATGTATTTTGGTTCATAAAATATTATAGAATGCAATATTCAGAGCCATTAAAGATGACTTTAACTTTAAAATAAACAAAGCACGGTAGACAAAAAGATATAATTGAAGGCCTCTTACTAGCTTTTATGAAGGATTTTAAGAACATATCAGCTGTCATTTGCTCAGTTATCATCACATGATTTAGAGTAAGACTAAAGTGGTTAGTTATGTAGGACAGCTAAATGGGGCACTGCGTCAGTGACTGTTTACCATTTCGGCTAATGGGCTTTTGCACTAATAGCAAATCTTGATCAATATCATGAGAATCATCATAGAATGTGACACAATTCAAATATGCTTATATATGTTTATGGACAGCTTTGGGTCAGGTGGTAGTGTCCTCTGATTGTAAAGTTGGTGGTTCAAACCTCGGCTCTTCCACAGTCGAAGTGTCCTTGGGCAAGACACTCAACCCGAAGTTGCTCCCAATGGCAGGCTAGCACCTTGCATGGTGGCTCTGTCAATGAATGTGTGTGTGTGTGTGTGTGTGTGTGTGTGTGTGTGTGTGAATGGGTGAATGAGAAAACATTGTAAAGCGCTTCGATTGCCGCTAAGGTAGATAAGTGCTATACAAGTGCAGTCCATTTACCATTTATTACTGAAGGAGTATTATCCGCCATTAAAATGTCACATTTGCTCTATCTACTGTTTAGGCCACTTATCTTTAGAGGATTATGGTGCCAGGTTAGGAAAATAGGATGTTAGTTTGTGTGCAGCATAACTAACATCAACTTAGCAATGTGGCAGAACCACGCACCGAATAACCCGGATCATAAAACACATCATAATGATACACTGCAAAATGAATGAAGATAGAACATGCACATGCACTAAACAATCCTATGCTAAACTGTGTACACTGTTATACTACACTGACCACATATACACTCACCGGCCACTTCATTAGGCACACCTTTTCAAATACTAGTTAATACTGAGCTTTAGAATGGGGAAGAACGATGATTTAGGTGACTTTGAATGTAGCATGGCTGTTGGTGCTAGACAAAGCTGGTCTGAACATTTCAGAAACTACTGATCTACTGGGATTTTCACTCACTAACACATTTAGGGTTGACAGAGAATGGTCCAAAAAAGAGAAAATGTCAAGTGAGCAAAAATGCCTTGTTGATGCCTGAGTGTCAGTGGACAATGGCCAAACTGGTGTGAGATGATAGAAAGGCAACAGTCACTGGGATCATTACAACAAAGGTATGCAGAAGACCACGTATGAAAAGGCAAAACTCCTGTCAGCTAAGAACAGGAAACTGAGGCTACAATTTGAACAGGCTCATCAAAATTGGACAATGGAGGATTGGAAAAACATTTATGAGCTGACGTTTTCGTCCAGCTGATCATGATACATTTCCAGAAAATGATTGGCAGAGCACTGTGACGGTTTATTTTTCAAAGTCAAAAGTTCAGTCTCACAAACAAACAAATTCATCAGTGGAGCTCCGTGTGGTACCTAAAGAAATACAACCACATGTTTGAATGCAACTTAAGCCCCATGTTTACCTCATGTGATGATAAATGAGAAAACGTTCTGCTACTGAGCAAATTCCATGATTCCATAAAATAGTCTGGAAAAACCTAATCCTGAAAGGCAGAAGCTTCACTTCCCCCTACACCACAATGTTATCCAGACACCTGCATTGTAACAAACCTTAGGCCCTTGGTCTTTAACTGGACCTGCCTGTAGCTCCTTTTAACCTGTCTTTCTTTCTTTTATTCTATTTTCTTTTTATTATTATTTTTTTAAAAATTCTAATTCTAATTCTGATTTATTCTAATTCTTTCCTTCCTACTTTGTGGCTCAGAGGTTGGTATATAAAATACCAGGAAGGAGCACTTCATGAGATGGAAGTCCGTGAGAGGGAATGGACCAACTCTGAACTAAACTTTGACAACATCTTCAATGGCATGTTGGCTCTCTTCACTATTTCTACCTTTGAAGGATGGCCAAAGTGAGTCATGATCTGTTTTGTGGCAATTTTTGGGATGCTTTTAATTTTTTTCACACTACAGCCTAAAGCTGTGTAAGCTACTGTAAGCAGCATCCACACAGTCTTTGTGTAATTTACAGTGTGCAACAGAAGTAAGTACACCCTTGCGCCATATCACCTAAATATCTAAAGATTTTTAAAAAATAAATAAATTATAACCTCTCAGTAATTGCATTGTTTCTAAGTTGACATGTAGAGTCTTTTCTCTTATGAACAGCCTAAAACGAAAATTTTAGGGATGATACATGACACACATTAGAAAACCTATTATCACTGAAATAAAACACAGATGAGTAGACTAGTGAGACCTAGATAAATTGTTTGTCCCAGATGGATTCCAGCATATATATATATATCTGGTTGACAGAATGACACCAATTCTGCAGAAACTATCATCCAGCAAACAGCAGCTAAAAAAACATAGTCTTTGAAGAATGACAGAAATTTGAGCAACACTGTTATCCTTCAGGCACAGGGGAATTGAGTCTGTCATCAAAAATAAAGGTGCACATAGTATTTGAAAAACCAAAAGGTTAGTAATGTCAATAATGAAAGGCATACTGACTTTTGTTGCATTGAATTCCTACTCTAGGCTTAAGGTCAGTATGTCTCAGCTGACTTTAGAACAAAGTCCTACTGTCCAACATAGAAGTAATATAATTACTGGAAGGTAAGAAAATGTAGAATCATTTGACTTCTAATTATTGCACTGACTTCTGTTGCATACCGCAGTCACTAATGCAGAATTAATACCCAGTCCACTTATTTTTTTTACTGACTTGGGGTCAGTTTTTCTTCTGTTTTTATATACAGTATATGTGTCATTTGTGTGAGACTTCTTCCATTTGGTTATTTACCCAGGGTTCTATATAAAGCCATTGATTCAAACTTAGAGGACACAGGCCCAGTGTACGACAACAGAGTGGCCATCTCAATCTTCTTTATCATCTACCTCATCCTCATCGCCTTCTTCATGATGAATATATTTGTGGGCTTCGTCATCGTCACCTTTCAGGAGCAAGGAGAGCAGGAATATAAAAACTGTGAGCTCGACAAAAATCAGGTAAGTTTAAAAGGACAGTTTCTTTGCGCAAGGACAGAGGTGAGCTGTTCCACTCACATACTATATGCAAACCCCGAACTGGAAACAGAGCTGCTTGAGAGTGGAGGCCACAGCAACAAGATTGAAATGTACTGAAGTGTGCACAATATACTTGAGTTGTGACCACAGGGCTTGTTTCTAGAAGGGCAATAAAACCATTTATTGTAAGCCTTCTAGCACAAGCTCCACTTGCTGTACATGCACCCTCATCTCCAGCAGGTATGTTCCACTTACATGCATAATTATACACTTGAATAACTTCTTGCTGTTGCTTCTTTTTAACTCCCTCAGCGTCAGTGTGTGCAGTACGCTCTCAAGGCTCGACCACTTCGGTGTTACATTCCCAAAAATCCCTACCAGTATCAGGTGTGGTACATCGTCACCTCCTGCTACTTTGAGTACCTTATGTTCCTCCTTATTATGCTCAACACCATGTGTCTAGGAATGCAGGTATGTATACAACACACAAATGAGTTTGTGTGTGTGTGTGTGTGTGTGTGTGTGTGTGTGTGTGTGTGTGTGTGTATGAGAGTGGAAAAATATATTAAAAAACAGGTACCAGGTCAGTTTGTAAAAATGTTAATGTCATTATAACATTGTTTAATGTTTCTGGGAGGGTTAATTTATGTGAGCAGAAAGCTAAAGTAACAGCAAAAACTGATGCACGTCATTGGCAGCTCTTTGTCCTTACAGTTTCATAATAATCCTATTGTTCAAGAGACAGCTGATTACAAATAGACAGGCTTCATTGTTCAAGCTTGCACGGCTGCCAGAGTGTAGTGGATGCCATCACTGGTAATGTCTCTGCTCATTCTTTAGAAACAACATGACTCTGGCCAGTCAGCCACTGAGCAGGCAGCTGCAGACGCTTGTTGGTGATGACATCCTCTGAAATGCAATGATAAATGCAAAAATTGCAGGAGATATATAATCGCTGCTTTCTAATGTTGCACTCCTTCTATACCCTCCAAGACAAACAGCTCCTCCCCGACAATACAGTCATTTGCTCTGCAGTAGGTTTGTTCAAGCAGACCTGAACAGTAGCGGCTGCAGCTTTCAGTCAGAAGTCTGTGTAATTACACCCTGTCCACAAATACAAACTCGACAGGCTGCAATTCATTGTGAAAAGAACATCAAAATAGCAGCTTGCTGCTAGTGTTGCCAACCCAGCAGCCAACAGCAGGGCCTACTGATATATGCTAAGTTACGTCTATAAAAGCGAAGCAGTCTTTTCTAACAATAAATGCCTCCACGGCTTTGTCAAGAATAGGACTCTGAGAAAAAGACTTACATTTTCATTGTAAAAATCCAGCAAGTAAAAACCTTAGTATTATAAAAGATTTAAACTAGTACAATAGTCTAAAGGGTATTTAAATGCAACTTAAGCCTCAGTCACAACCGGTTGTACGGGCTCCTACGGCCTGTCTGCATCCAAATACGTGCAAAATGGTACGTGCCACGCAAGTCTGTCTTGCGAAATGTCAAAGTCGCAGACAGCCCGTAAGCACGTAGAGAGGATCTTTGACATGTCAAAAAGATTCTAGGAATTCTCTGCAAACAGCAACACTGCAAGTGTAACTTGCTCCCCCTGCAAGGAGTTTGTAAGTGAGACATGCAAATTTTTAAGGCACTGTGGGAAGACAAATCCGTGATCTATGATGCAAGTCCACGCATGAGGGAGCACGTGCCCCTTGTGTCTTAAGCATGACGTACACACTCACAACTCATGAACAAAATCAAAACGCACGGCGGGTGTGCATCACCCTGCACCAGGAGTATAAAAGGCACGCTCACAGCACAAGCTCGTGTTTCGCCAGTAATCGTTGATTGCATTATTGCTTCAAAAAAAAAAAATAATGGATATACCATAATGTAACCAGATGTACAGTTCAGTGTACGGGCCATTTTTTCTGTCACTGCCTCAGTATGAATGTATGAAAACACTGCATCTGATCACACTCATTATTCATCATCAGTGGCATAGCAGCCAAATGTTTTCACACACACAGAATACAAGCAGCCTTTCCTTACATTCCAGACATGATAATTCAGTTTGCAAATCACTGATCCCAATGCAGAATAACCACTAAGCTGTCCTCGCCCATTAAAAGTTCATCCTGCAGCCCTTCCGCTCAGCAAAGTCGCTCAAGTCCAAGTTCTTTGCTCTGTTGTTCTCTTTTGAGAGCACTGCTAACATACTAAGTCTTTACTGTCCCATACTGCTCCTCAGATATGTTTTAATGAGTTTGAGCTTAGAAAAAGAGCACTCCACAGTCGCAACAGTGACGGGTATGTTAAGATACAAAGCAATTCTGTGCAAACATCGCTGAAGGAGGCCGCCACAGAGCTGTGGGGCCAGGAGACGGGTGAGCAGGCCCACTGTATTGACATCACATGGGCCCAAGAGTGGGCCCTGTAATGGCACCGGGGCCCCGCCGGCACCAGCGGTAGGGGTACCGGTGGTAGTTGCACCATTGGGACACACACACACACACAGTGCAACTGTTGGCTTTACCGCTGATGCACAGATCTCACACTGTATTGGGACATAACGTTAGGGTTTTTAAGAGGTAATCATTAGCGAATATTTTTTTTTGGTCAAAAAGGAAGAAAGAAAGAAAAAAAATATATATGTGTTGCAGCTAGTACGTGTCTCCGCTGGAGGAGCGGGTCAGCTTACTGGAGATGCTCCTGGCCAGCATCATGCTGGAAGTCAGTACCAGAGCTGACAGTGACACTGCAGGCAAACTGTCACCGCCAAGTTAAGTCCACTTAAGTCCACACCCTGTCAGTATATTAACAAATTTTACAAGATAGCTTATCATCTTGATCGCCGAAGTGTCTCTGGTTTTTTTTTTTTGTTTTTGTACAATTTCCACTGCAATCGCACGTTGCAACTGAACGGACATCTCATGTCGCCCCTGCAACTCACAAGGCAGGCTTCTTCCTCTCTAACGCATTTCTGACAGAGCCCTTGCAACCTCTCCTATAGTGCTACGACCTCCATGGCCTCCACGGGACCCAAAATTCACAGCGGACATACGATCCCAAAAGTCATGCATCCGGTTGTGACTGAGGCTTTAGCAGCACAATGACGGTGTATGTCCATCCCGCGACTACTGTCTGCTGCCCACATATCCCCTGCTGTCCACACATCATGCCGTTATACAATAAATAAAACAATTAAGCAATTAAAAACAAGGAATGATGATGATAAAAACCACAGCAACCAGATAATAATTAATCTCAAAAATGTACAACAAAATAGAACATCACAGCAATCATAATTAGGTAAAACATGCTCATCAGTTTCAGACCCTGTCACACTCGCACCAACTTACCATCTTGAAAGCATTTGGTCTGATAAACAGTTGAAGACAGCATGGAAACACATTTCTTCAGAAAAAGAAAACTCTTACCTTCAGTTATTTGTTATAATTATGGCTCACATTGTCTTAATTGTATTTGTGCAAATGTTATTCAATAACTATAATTGAATGGTAATCCACAGCACTGCAACCAGTCTGCCCATGTCACCCACCTCTCTGACATGCTGAATGTTATCTTCACTGTGCTCTTCACTGTGGAGATGATCCTTAAACTCATGGCCTTCAAGGCTAAGGTTAGTCAAAATTCAGTGTGTTATTACAGTTTTCATCCACTGCAGGTCCTGTAATATAACCCTGTTTCCCATCATTAAACACAAGAATGAAAGATCACATTACTGCTGATATTTTTTTGATATTATTTTAAAGTAATTACTCCAAATTTAAAAGCATTTATCTTTTTTTGTACTCCACTCATTTACTTTAATTATTAAAGTGTTTATTTTATGTGTAATTATTCTGTATAAGTAAAATTCAATTTTTTTTGGTCAATATTGAAATGTTTAAGTTGTTTAAAACCACACTTACGTTGATTATCCCGCTTGTTAGTAATTGTCATGATTCATGCTACTCAATTTCGATTCATTTGAACATCTTTGTTAAATAGTGATCAGTACTCAGGTCAACTGCATAAATGAAAATATGCATACATGTAACCACTATGGCCCAAGACACACATCTACAATTGTCTTACTTTCTCAAAGGGTTATTTTGGAGACCCTTGGAACATCTTTGACTTTGTCATCGTCATTGGAAGTGTTGTGGACGTGATCCTAAGTGAAATTGATGTGAGTATGTCTGTGATGTGAAAACTATGATTTGCTTTTATGTCTTCATCGCTCTCTATCACATGCACAGACACACACCTGCACATACATGTGCACGCACACACACAAGCACACAGACACTTTGACACTTTGATTATAAGTTCACATATTTAAGCACAAACTAAATATTAAATATATTGGGTTATTATGCATCAGCAGACATTGCCCTGACTTAATGTTAATGTAGTTGTTTCACCTAATCTACGAGGTGTGTCATAAAAGTCCAGGGACTGGTGTCACAAAAAATATATTTCAAATCCAAACTACAAACTACAAGTTTTCCCCCTCAAAGGAATCCCCCTGTAGTCTAGCACACTTCCCCAGCCTTCTCTGCCACGCCGCCATGCACTCCTGGAAGGATTCTTCTGGGATCCTCCACAGCTCCGTCGTCACAGCCATCTTGATGTCGTCTCACAGTGGACGATGCCCCTCCCATCCAAGAATGCGATCAACATTACTTTGACTTTTGACCTCAACTGTCTTGCTTTGTTCGGCCTTGGCGACGTCGGACTCCTCCACTGAAGGCTCTGGCTTTAGTCTCTGGATCCTGAAACACTTGCATGCGTTGATCCTTCTGGTCATCGTTCAGCAGTTTCGGCACCATCTTTGCGCTGACTTTTCGCATGCCAAAATCGTCAGCGATAAATCCTCCAGACGTTTGTAGTTTGGGTTTAAATATAGACCTTTTATGATACCAGTCCTGGAACTTTTCTGACACACCTCGTTATCTACAATGTGTATATCAAATCAAATCAAATGTATTGTCATTTTGCTGTACATACAACAGCAGTACAAACAAGATGAGAGAGCGTTTCTTCACGATCCAATAACTAAAAGCAATTAAATGTTGTCATGGAGCCACGTTTCTGTAAAAACAAACACACAGCAGTCTTTCCACTCTGCGGGTTTCTCTCAGCAAACGTAGCTCGAAAATCCAGCTTGTTGTGGAGGGAGCAGACATTGGAGAGTAGGAGGGACGGTACTGCTGGTCTGGAGGGGTTAGCCTTTAGCCTGGCATGGATCCCAGTTCTTGTCCTCCTCCTTTGTTTACGTTCGTACTGCTTGTGCTTCCTTCTCTCTCGGATAACTGCGGCCATAGTCTCCGATCGAACTCTGTGTTGCTGTAGTATGTCCAAATCACAACCGAGCACCACAGTTTTCGCAATGCTCATTGCCCTGAAGTTCTGTAAAGTCTCTCGGCTGTAAGTTTTGCAGAATGAATGTCTGGGATAGGCAAGACACTCAGAACTTTCACTCTTGCTGTCTCCTGAAGGGAGCGCTGCGTCCATGTGCTGCCATCACGTTGAACATGGCGACTCTATGGAAAACCCTATGAAAACCCTACAATATGTAATACATTTTGATACATGGACAATAGTGGTAAAACCCTGGCGTTGCTTTGAAGAAATCAGTAACTCATTCAGTAAAAATAAAACTATCTTTTTTTTTTTCTTTCTTTTTTTTTGCCCTTTGGCTTTATTGGACAGGATAGTACACAGAAAGACAGGAAAGCAGTGAGAAGAATGGGGGAAGTACCTGCAGCAAATGGCCATGGTCTGGATTCAAACCCATGGCTGCTGCATCGGGGACTGTTCATGGGTCACCTGCTCAACCAGTTGAACTAACCAGGTGCCCATTTTTAAAAAAAAAAAAAAAACTTTAATACATGCATGAGTTAACTTTTTCTTACACCACCATTTAAGATGATGACCATTTTCAACATAGCTACAACAGGCTACAATAAGCATTTCATAGGAATGTCTATTACTCTGCATTGCTTGTCATTTCACTATAAATATTTTTTTCTGTGTCAGGATTCATCTATTTTAGCGATCGAACTGGTCAGTGCTGAGTCTGTAGTGAGATTTTCATTGGATCGCCTGAGGTCAACTTGAAACAGATTAGCCACGCAATATAGATTACCATGATGTTACAACAGTGAGCTGCTTTTGGGATACTAGAAATCCTGAATTAAACCTAAAGACAGTTCGACTAATCTTGCTTCATGGCAAGACCCCTTATCGACCACCTGAACAGCTGCTGTTGTACACTATATCTAGAATAGAGCAGTGTTTATTTCTTAAAACAATGCCCTAATTGAGCAGGCTTACTGCCAGCAGTTTCCATAGTGGCTATTTTTTGGTTTTCACGATTCAGGAGGTTTATTGTCCTATGTACAGAAAACTAAACAGTTACACAGTACAAGTAAACTCTTTGCTGATCACTTTAAATAAAGTGACTATGGCTGTGGTAAAGTGGTTGCAATATTGATTAGAAAGTGTATATTGCATTGCAGTGAACAGTTATATACTTGAAAACATAAGGTAGCAGCAGTGGTCATTGTACAACGAGGAGAAAAACCACAGTATACACATGTTTGTGCATAAGGTTCAGTGAGATGGTCCAGGTCAGCGCGAGTGTGTAACAGTCATTCACAAGAATTACAGCCTGTGGGTAAAAACTGTTTGTCAGCCTGGTTGCTCTAGTTTTCACACTTCTGTATCACTTGCCTACAGAAGCAGATAGCAGGAGCATAAAGAGGCTGTGCTGGGGATGTGATCTGTCCTTGATGATGTCATGGGTCCTCCTGAGGACCCTGGTTTAATAGGTGTCCTGCAGTGCGGGGAAGGCTGCATCAGAGATGAGCCGAGATATTTTTAATCACTCGCTGGAGAGGCTTCCTGTCCTGAGCTGTGCAGGTTCTGTACCACACAGTGATGGAGCTGTTCAGGACACTCGATTGTTCTTCTGTAAAAGTTACACAGAATTTTGGCTGGCATGTCAAACTTCCTCAGTCTTCTCAGAAAGTACAGGTGCTGCTGGGCCTCGTTGATAATGTGTGATGATACCAGGTGAGATCCTTGTGGACACAGGGGAACTTAGAGGTTTTCGCCCTCTCCACCTCAGTCCTATTTATGTCTATAGGTGTGTGAGGCTCCGCCCTCGTCCTTGGATCAGCAATCATTTCCTTAAGACTGTTGTCCTGACACCTGGCCACCAGATCTGTCACCTCCCTCCTGTATGCCGTCTTATCCCTCGCAGTGATCGTTCCCATCACTGCTGTGTCATCAGCAAATTGACGATACTGGTGTTGCTCTGGGAGGCTATACATGTGAGGAGGATGTACAGCAGGGGACTCAACACACAGCCCTGGGGGGTCCTTGTGCTCACAGTTCTCTGGATGTGCAGCTGCCGACTCTGACTGACTGGAGTCTATAAGAAAGTTCTGTGAGAAGGACAGGTTAAAGATGTCTGCAAACACCTCAGCCAACTCTGATGAGCAGATCCTAAGTGCACACCCAGGGATGTTGTCTGAGCTAGCTGCCTTCTGTGAGTTTATTCTCTTCGGTACCTGATGCACCTCCATCGCTGACACAGTGAAGTCTTCTGTGTTCTTACCTCGGGCACAGCTTCTTCTCTGATGGTCCACATTGAGGGCCTCAAAGCAAGCATAGAACTCATTCAGCTAATCTGATAGTGTAGCATGGCTGTTTGTGACCAGCCTGCTCCTTTGTTGGTAGTTGGTGATGTGTTGCAGACTTTGCCATATGCGTTAGGATTCTCTGGTGGTATATACATTTGTTTTGAATTGCTTTACATAGAGTTCGCAACAAAAATAATTACAATAAAAATGATAAGAATAAAAGGTGGTGTGACTACATTTACAACCTTTGCTCTTCTTTTCTCAGACCAACATATGTCCACCAATTTGCTCAGCTTTGTTCATGGGTCCCAGGCTTTTATCTTCAATAATGAGTCCTCTGCCAGAAACCGGTGGATTGTCACCTCCAGAGGGGGGGCAGTAATGCGGGCACTGTACCAGACTGTCGTGGTGAAGAGATCTGTCTTTACAATTTCGTTACAATTTCTAACTGTACGTTGAGCACAAACTGTAGCTTAAGTCTAACTGCAAATTAAGTCATGCACTTTGAAAGACGCTCAATTTACCAGTCCATCTACGTCCCATCCCTCACCTATGGTCACGAGCTTTGGGTCATGACCGAAAGAACGAAATCGCGGATACAAGCGGCTGAAATGAGCTTCCTCTGCAGGGTGGCTGGGCTCAGCCTTAGAGATAGGGTGAGGAGCTCAGACATCTGGAAGGAGCTTGGAGTAGAGCCACTGCTCCTTCGTGTCGAAAGGAGCCACTTGAGATGCCTCCACAGGGGCTTCCTCTGGAGGTCTTTCCAACACGTCCACCTGGGAGAAGACCTCAGGGCAGACCCAGAACCCGCTGGAGGGATTATATCTCTCAGCTGGCCTGGCAATGCCTCGGGATCCCCCAGGAAGAGCTGGAAAGCTTCACCGGGGGGAGGGAAGTCTGGAATGACCTGCTCCGCCTGCTGCCCCCGTAACTCGACCCCAGATAAGCGGAAGAAAATGGATGGATTATAAATAATAACAATAATAATAATATAGCAATAATAATAATATAATTATTATTCCGGGCGGACAGGCAGACAGTTAGCTCTGGGCAGCATCTGTGGCTTCACCATCGTCACACCATCATGTGTGTGTCTTTGTGAAGACCTACCAGGACCTGAAGAGGTTCACCATGTTCAACGTGCTGGCAGCGCACATGGACACAGTGGCCCCTGCAGGAGAAAATGAGAGTGAATGTTTAGTGTCTTGCCTATCCCAGACGTGCATTCCTCAAAACATACTAATTAAATGATCCTGAAGAAACGCTCTCTCATCTTGCCTGTACTACTGTGTATGTACAGCAAACTTGATTTGATTCGATTTAAGAAGTACAAAAACAAACTGTATCAGCCTCCATGCACCATCAGTATTGTTAGCCAGTAACATAAAGTCGTGTACAAGTTTACATGCACTTATAAATTACTTATGTGTAAACCGTGTATATCATGGTAGTGATGAGTTTCTACTGACTCCTGTAACTCTGAAATTTCAATGTAGCTTTCTACATCATCAAAACTGATCATTCAAGTTGCTGTATGAATATTTTCAACCGAGCAGATTTTGCCATATTTTCAGAAGAACTATAATAAAACTATGAAAGAGCCAAAATGCATGATTGTTTTTTGTTTTATGATTCCGTCATAGAAAATTCAGAGTTGTAGGAGTCATTGGAAACTCAAGAATGCCATGATATATATGGTTGTGTAAGTAATAATAACAATTACTAATTGATCAGATTTATATAGCACTTTTCTAGGCACTCAAAGATGCTTAACACAGTTGATTATTCATTCACACAAATTCCTTCCGGTGGTGGTAGCTACGATTGTAGCCACAGCTGCCCTGGGGCAGACTGACAGAGGCGTGGCTACCATTCCTACGGCCTCTCCGATCACCACCTCAAACAATCCATTCATACGCATTCACACCAGGCAAGGTGGGTGAAGTGCACGACCACAGAACAACAACTTTGTCACAGTGTGATTTGATATCAGTCATGTTTTACTGATTTTACCCAAATTGAAAGAAATGTGACTCGATGGAAACAAGACCAACCTGTTAAACCCTCTATTTAAGCCAATTACCGTTAAGAGCAAGAAGTTACCTGGTATTGTGTTGGACTATTCTTTTGCTTTCATGAATCATGTACAATTTATCATGTACATTTACAACAAAGTGCAATTAAACTCTTCCTGCAACATAGAACAAGACATTTTAAGGCCTGGCAATACATTTTATACCAATACTTTATTCAGAGTATATGCATTTTTAACGTTGGGTCTGGTTTGAACATCGAAGGGTGTTGCAGGTGATGGCGGGTGCAGGTCATCAGGGCAATTGGAGATGCATAGGCCCAGTGCTTTTCCTACTATAGATCCCCACCTCAGTCTGAGTAGGGTTCTTCTCTCCCGCACATTTCTGTTTACTTTGTACCATTCAGCATCACATCACACTGTTCACCTGTTCACATACACTCACTTGGAAGGTCCTCATTATATTTTTTATTTGTTTTGTGCTGGTTTCATGTTTGATTAGTGGACTTTGGCCACTCTTTGCAGCAGCCAGTCACTGAAAAGAGTGGCCTTACCACTGCCAAGCTTTTCACTCTTTTATCATGGCTTCTGAGTCAGGTTGTGATGAAGTGGTGGATTATCCATCATCCAACATGTAGTCTGGCTTTTTCCTGCTGTGTCAGTTAAGTTTAATCCTGAGCTGGTGAAACAGGAAGATGAGTAAGATGTGCCAAATCATGCTTTGCACACAGCTGATCAAGAGTTTGTTGTACTTGTTTGCTAACACTCTTGGCTGAATACCCACTGATTCAACATTGTACAGAAGTGGGAAATGCTAAACAACAGAGAATCTATTGTGTGAAAGCAGAGAACAGGAAGTATTTATAGACAGATGATAAGTTTATGTTGAAAACTGGTATCACAAAAACCCTGCTCCTATTGTGCTTCCTGCTTCTCTGGTGTTTAAATGTAAATGTGCATTAACTTGTGTGTTTGGTGTCAATTTGATGTAATGTACTTTAATGTGCTCATTTCATAGCAGATGTCTGCACATGCAAGCCAGTGCTGCAAATTAAGTGATTTTTAAAATCCAACTGCTCAAGTACTGTATACAGAAAAAACAACT